AGAAAAGAAACAGCAAGAAGTACTCAAGCCTACCTCATTTTATTACTCTTCGCCTGTACTGTGCCTCACAGACATTGTGGTTTTTTCCATGGAAGAGCTGTGGCAATCGTGCGCCCAGCCATTCTTTCAAAATCACGTGCTCATTTCGTGTGTCTGTGTCCCATTTTGCTCGTTCTTGCAACAATTCAAATTTTTTTTCATTATTGTTGTATCTGTTACAGTGATCTGTGATCAGTGATCTTGCAATTACTTTGTAATTGTTTTGGGAAGCCATAAACTGCTCCCATATGAGACAACAAGCTTATCCAGTATGTGTGTTCCGACTGTCTCAGGTTGTTCTCCCTCCTCTCTCCCTCTCCTCTGGCCTCCCTGTTCCCTGAGACATAACAACATGGAAATGAGGCCAGTTGGTAACCCTACAGTGGCCTCCAAGTGCTCGAGTGAAAGGAAAGGTCACTGTCTCTCATTTTAAATCAAAACTAGAAGTGATTAAGCTTAGCTTCGGCATGTTGAAAGCTGAAATAGGCCCAAAGCTAGGCCTCTTGCATCAAATATTAGCCAAACTGGGAATGCAAAGGAAACAATCTTGAAGGGAATTATGAGTGCTATGCTACAGATGATATGTAAATGAGGCAGGCTTACCGCTGATACAGAGAAAGTTCGAGTGGTCTGGAGAGAAGAGCAAACCAGCCCCAGCATTCCCTTAAGCCAAAGCCTGACCCCGAGCAAGGCCCTAGGTCTCTGTGATTCTGGGAGGGCTGAGAGAGGTGAGGAAGCTGCAGAGGAAAGTCTGAAGCTGCAGAGGCCGGTCCCTGAGGTTGAAGGAAAGAACCAGCTCCGTAACAGAAAGTACAACGTGAAGCAGCAAGGGCTGGGGAAGAAGCTGCGGCGAGTTCTCCAGAAGGTCCAGCTATGATAGCAATGAAAGCGGCTACACACCACAGCAGGTTTCCAGTGTAGACAAGACAGCCTTCTACTGGAAGAAGATGCCATCGAGGACCCTCAGACCTAGACAAGAGAAGTCAATGCCTGGCTTCACAGCTTCATAGGACAGGCTGACTCTCATTAGAGACTAAAGCAGCTGGTGACTTGAAGTTGAAGCCAAAGGTCACTGACCATTCTGAAAATCTTAGGGTTTTTAAAAATTATGCTCCATCTACTCTGCCTGTGCTCTATAAATGACACAAAGTATGGATGACAGTCTGTCTGTTTACAACATGGTTTACTGAATATGTGGAGCCCCCTGTTGAGACCTACTGCTGAGAAAAACGATTCCTATCAGAATGCGACTGCTCACTGACAACGCAGCCGGTCATCCAAGAGCTCTGACGGAGACGTCAAAGATGAACGTCGTTGTCATGCCCCTGACACAACAGCCATCCTGCAGCCCCTGGATCACGGAGTCATTTTGACTTTCAAGTCTTATTTTTTTCTTTTATTATTGTTAATATTATTTTTAATATTCTGTTCTTGTATTGAGGGCTGACCTGTAATAGATTGTAGTGAGGGAGCTGTTCTGCTACATACGAAACTCGGAAGGTCTTATATTTCAATAAATACAATTTTGTAAGGTTATAGCTGTCATAGATAGTGATTCCTCTGATAGATCTGGGCTAAGCAAATAAAACCCTTCTGGCATGGATTCACCATTCCAGATGCTTTTAAAATATTCATGGGAAGAGGTCAAAATATCCACATTCACCACAGTTTGGGATAGATTGGTTCCCACCCTCCCGGAGGACTTGGAGGGGTTCAGGGCATCCGCGGAGGCAGTCACCACAGAGGTGGTGGAAACAGCAAGAGAACTGGAGTTAGAAGTGGTGCGAGAAGATGGGACCACTTTGCTGCCGTCTCATGATCCAGTCCATGTGGTAAACTGTATTGTATTCTTTTAAGAAATTGCCACAGCCACCCCAGTCTTTAATGGCCACCGCCCTGATGAGTCAGCAGCTCAACATCATCAATATCGAGGCAAGACCCTCTACCAGCAAAAAGATTATGACTTGCTGAAGGCTTGGATGAGAGTTCACATTTTGTAGTAAGAAAGTATTCTTTTTTTTTTTTTTTTTTAAAGATTTTATTCATTTATTTGTCAGAGAGAAGGAGCACAGGCAGACAGAGTGGCAGGCAGAGGCAGAGAGAGAAGCAGGCTCCCCAATGAGCAAGGAGCCCGATGTGGGACTGGATCCCAGGACGCTGGGATGATGACCTGAGCCGAAGGCAGCCGCTCAACCAACTGAGCCACCCAGGCATCCCAAGAAAGTATTCTTTAAGTTGAGGTACATACATTGTTTTCTTAGATGTAATGCTATTTGCACACTTAAAAGACGATAGTATAGTATAAATATAACTTTTGCTTGTGCTGGGAAACCCCAACATTGATTTGACTTGCTTTATGGCAATATTTGCTTTATTGTGGTGGTCCAGAACCAAACCCACGACATCTCCATGGTATGCCTGTACGAGGTGACACGTGGTTAACTGGAGACAAGACAGGCAACAGAAAACATGAAGGGCTTGCAAGGAACTAGATATGACAGGATTGTGTACAAGTATTCAAATGACAAAAATTAAAATACTGTGCGACCAAGTAGATTATGCTTGGTCCTTGAAGTTATGTGGGTATATTTTGTAGCTCACACACTCAGGCAGGCCCCAAAGAAGTCAGTTGTACACATACCCATCTTTCTCTAGGTATAGAGAAGGTCATGGTAACGCTGATAAAGCTACAGGTAAAAACTGGGTTCTAAACCTAGGTAACCCCTTCTAAATTCTGGGTACAAAGGGGTTGTGTTTCCGTCAAATCTTTTTTTTTTTTAAGATGTATGTATGTATGTATGTATGTATGTGAGAGAGAGAGAGAGAGAGAGAGAACACAGAGGGAGAAGGAGAGGGAGAAGCAGACTCCCCACCGATGCCCCGCTTGATCCCAGGACCTTGGGATCATGACCTGACCTGAAGGCAGACGCTTAACCAACTGAGCCACCCCAGATGCCCCTCAATCAAATCTTAACTATATGACACATTGTTACAAAATACCCCATTGCAGCACTTTGAAGAATCTCTTTATATCTGTGCCTCTCCAGTGAACTTGAGGCTGGGGAGACAAGGCATCGTGAGGTTCTGCAATTAGGATCTACGACCCCCTTGTGAATTTAGACGGTTATGACATCACCTATACATAACTCTTGATAATTCTACCAGGAATCCATTTTTAAAAAGGCCCGTTCTTATGTAAAATTAAGTGTAAAGCTGGCAGGCTCTGTTCCTGTGACATTTTAGGATTCGTGGATGAAGACGCATGTTGGTGGGCAGTGTAGATGGAGGCAGGGCTCAAATTCTGGCACATTAGATCTGTTTCCTGGAACAGAATAGTAGAAGGGGAGGGCGGGATTACAACAGGAGTTTACCCAAATAGGCAAGACAGGGTCTGGGAGCATGGTGACACTGGTAGGCCCTGGGGTCTAAGCAGAATAGAACACAGAAAGAATTCAGGTGGGCCATATTTCCTGATCTTTGGCAGGGAGAGGGAGGCACTAAGCACTCCAAGTACCTGACTGTGTGGTGGTGAAAAGCAGGGTCCTAGCTGCTGGCTTGGGTATCAGGGCAAAGAGGGAGGGCCCCAGCTTCCATGGAGGTAGGTCCCTGGAGAATCAAGCCAGCAACTATGGGACTTGGCTATATTCTATTTGCAGTTTTTTTCCCCTAGCAATCTTATAATGGAAATCACTATGGAAACAGCATTCATGTACCAGAACTCTGTTTTGCACCTAAATTTTGTTTGCTTTGTGTTTCAAATGTTTTGAACCTATTAGGCAAGGCATATCTGATTTTTGGAGGTTTATCTGAATTCACATCCTCAGCCACACTGAAATAGGGGAACCCAAAATCACCCCATCACTGCAGCTCACCAAATGGGAAATGTTATAGGCTTTCCAATATAATAAAGTTGTTCTACTAATTTGAACTACTTTCTCAAATAGGAAGAAATAAAGCTGAGTTTCCTGGCATAAAGAACAGGATGCATTGATGTATTTTATAAAAGTAGAAAAGAGGAACCGTACCCTAGCTGACCCAGCTTAAGTATTTCTCACAGGACATTTTTTCTCACTCAGGAGACTTTTTGTCTATGGTAACATCATCATCAGTGTTGGGTTGAGATTTTCCCTGTTTTGCAACTCAACTTTCAGAACAAATATATTTAGGTACTATATTTATAAACATATTCTAAATTTATGGCCAGCAGGGAGGCGGGAAGGCAGCTTGGCCCCCTTTCCCCATTACTTGTCTTTCTTCCTAATTCAAGGAGCTAAATATATAGTTTCATTTTTAATTATCTTTTGTTAAGTTATGGTGTTTTGACCAGGTGATTCACCCACTGTATGTCAAAGAGATAGACCATCTGACATTTTGTTAAGTGCTTGGGATTACCCGGTATTTCAACCGTACTAAGGTTTCCTCCCACTCCGCCCAAAATTACCCAGATCACCTCCGTTTTCTTTCTGGGGAGTGGGGACCAGCTGTCCCCTCACCCTTAGCGGAGGCTGCGGGTCAGTCCTCTCCCGGACTTACCCAAGTCGTCGCAGCCCGTGCAGCGAAAGGACGAGCCCCCCCCCTTCTCCCGCGTTCCCTGTTCCCCCGCTCTCCTCGCAGCCAAGGCTCTGGTGGCGCTCGGGCTCTAGGACCGCGAGGGACGCGGGCGGGAGGCGGGGTCCGGCCGAGCGATGGGTGGGGCCGCGCCTGTGTTCCCCCGCTCGCGCGCTCCGGAGCCGAAGAGCCGTGCGCGGAGGAGTGGGCGGGGCCGCGCGGGGCGGTCTGGGCGCCTGGCGGGTGGGCGGGGCGCGCCGCTGGGCCAAGCAGCTGCCGGGCAGGCCGGGCATTAGGGCCTCGGCGGAGTCCGCTCCCCAGCGCGCAGGGCGGGGTGTACGGGCGGGCGGCTTCGCGGGCAGGCGCGGGCCCCGAGGCAGCGGCTGCGCCCTGCGCCGGGGAGGAGCCGGGGGCGGGCGGGTGAGCGGCAGGCGGGGACTGGGGCCCGAGGCGGGGAGTGCCGGAGCGCCGGCGGCGACGACGGCAGCGGCGGTAGAGCAGGCTCGGTGCGTGGGTCCGTGGCGGCTCGGGGTCCGCCCGCGGGCTGCGGTGCGAGCGGGCGGCCCGGCTCCTCTCCTCCCCCGCCCGCCGCCGCCGCTGTGATTGGGTGGAAGATGGCGTTGGGCGGATGGAAATCCTAATGACAGTCTCCAAATTCGCCTCCATCTGTACCATGGTAGGTGAGGCGGGAGGGCGGCGGGGGCGGCCCCGGGACCCCCGCGGGCGGGCGGCGGCGGCTCGGCCCTTGTCCCCGCTTCTTACCCGGGCGGCCCGCAGGGCCTAGCGTGGGGGCCCCCGCGGCCCAGATAGGGGCGGTTGGACGGCGGCGGGCGGGGAGCGCGGGGGCTCCGCTGTCCCCGGAAAGCGGGGAGGTACCCGGCGAGCCCGGGCGGCGCGGGGGCGACCGTGGCGGACGCGGCGGGGCGCGGGCACTGATCGTCAGCGCCCGCGGGCTCAACTGTCCGAGTCTTCCCGCGGCGCCGGGGCGGAGCGGCGAGGCGCACCCTGAGGTGTGGGCGCACGGCCCCGGGTTGGGGTCGGAGGTGGAAGGACGCGCGCGGGGCAGCGCCTCTCCATTTCCGTCCGGCGGTGCGCGGAGCGGGGAGGCGGCCCTGGGCGGGGGTGGGGGTCCGCCGGCAGGAAGGCAGGGTCTCATTCCTGCCGGGAGAGGACGGAAGTCAAATGCAGATATCCTCCGCGCGCCTCTGGCGACGCCGAGGCCCCCACCCGGTGCTTAGGGGTAGGGGGTGTGTGTGAAGGTGGAAACTTTAAATAAGTGGTGTTGAAAATTTTCCCATTTTCGGCTCTTCCTGAGCAACGAGCTCTCTGTTTTCCAGCCATGTGTCCAGGTGGCAGTCTCGGCTCTGCGAATCCGCGTTAATCTTGAAAACAGCTTAAGCTTCCCGGTCGATTGTTTACTTTAATACATCAGACACATCTGTGTGTGGCTGGAAGTACTTCTGTACGGGGACGGATTGTAAGGGTTGTTGTTCGCGTTTCGTTGGGGCATTTAAATAGACTTTGACGGAAAAGTGCTGCTGCCTGTTGCAAACTCCCGAATTAATTACAGCAAAACGTGGGTGCGTTTAAATCTTGGTGTTTTCGTGATTGGCCAGAAGGGCCCCAGTTTTTCCACACGATGGGGCAAATTCGTTTCATTAGGTACTTCGGAGCTTACAACGAGGGATCTTAGTTGTGAACCCTCACAGAAAAAAAGTTATTCTTTGCAGTGTGGGCCTAGCGATTATGTTATTAAAGACACCTGAAGTCTCTCCTTCTGCTCTATCTTACTGGCCCTTTTTGTGCGTCCGATTGCACAAGGAGATCCCCAGCAATCTTCTATTGAAGGGTAGTACATTTTATATGGCTTTAAGGAGTGATGAATCAGATTGGAAAGGTGCTTTAGAGGCAGATTCTATACTGCACGCTGGGGAACAGTACAAAAAAATGGCTGAAGTCAGGTGGAATTAAAATCTACAATATTAAATCATGTTGAGTGAATCACTGAAGAATCCATTTCCCCAAATGAATGTTTGTTCTTTTTCACAATTTACATTTTAGGAAATCATTGATATTAAAGGGACTATATTAACAACGATTCCACAGGATCATGTGGATTAATTATTTTTAGATATGCCAATTATTATCGTATTCTGTTTCAGAAGGAATGTGATAATTAATTCTTTGAAAGTGATAATCTTGCCAGATTGCTGAGCTACACGGATTATCTGGTCATAGTTCATTGTCAAAGTCTGTTGCTTAGGGAGTGACGTGTTTTTACTCCCTACTCACCATTCATTCACTCGTTTATCACTTGCTAAGGAAGAGAGACTGGCCTTAGCCAGTGGGGAAACAGTAGTGATCAGGGGAGTCCCTGCTTTCATGGTGTTTATGATCTAGTTGAGGGACACAAACAGTATTCAGGTAGATATATTCAATATATATGCTCTGATTAGATTAGGAAGATGGGGAGAGATTTGCCAAGTCAAACGCTGAGTAAAGGATTCTGATCTGAAGAATGTCAGACTCAAGCTTTTTCTAGGGCTTTCACTCAAGTGTGTTGATTGGTTGCATGCGGTGTGTGTGTATTGTTGGTGAATATGGAAATGTCAGTGCCTGGTCAAATAAGATGGTTCCAAAACTAGTGTTAGAATTGGGTGTGTCACGGGGCGCCTGGGTGGCTCATCGGGTTAAAGCCTCTGCCTTCAGCTCAGGTCATGATCCCAGGGTCCTGGGATTGAGCCCCGCATCAGGCTCTCTGCTCAGCGGGGAGCCTGCTTTCCCCTCTCTTTTTCTCTGCCTGCCTCTCTGCCTACTTGTGATCTCTGCCTGTCAAATAAATAAATAAAAAAATCTTAAAAAAAAAAAAAGAATTGGGTGTGTCTGTAGTTCATATTTGAATAAATTCTGATGCACTTCCAAAATAATGCTGAATGTCTCAAAGTAATCTGTTATCTTACTCCTTAAAGAAGACTGCAACCTGTCTTAGAAAATTGACAGTCAAGAAAAGTAAAGGTATTTACCTTTGTGCCTTTGTAGATGCTCTTTGTGTAGGCTTTGAACACTCCCTCTTTGCTTCTAGTCTGGTGAGTTCTTCCCTCTCAAGCTGATAGCCTTACTTAGATAATCCTACTCCTGTCCGTCCCCACCTCTATCCCCATCATAATTTCATGGAGTTTTGGTAACCTCAGTAGCATTTATTACACTTGCTGTGTTGTGAATTTTTCTCTTGTCTCCTTATTAGACCGAAGACCTTAAGGGAAGGACTATTGTTTATTTCTGCAGTTTTGGTGGATAACTTCTGCAAACTAGAGAACAGTTTCCCAGAGGCCTCCATTTCTCCTACCTGAGTCTGGGGGAAGTGAGTTTGTTTAGCATGGATGAGGTTGGGGGTGGTGGTGGGTGTGTGTGTGTTGGTGGTAAAGAGGAGGTGTTGGACCTAAGAAGAATGATACTTCTACTCAGAGGGTCAACATCTGTGAAAATATGATGAATTGGAATTTTATTTTAGAAATAGTAAAGCCTGGGTGGCTCAGTGGGTTAAAGCCTCTGCCTTTGGCTTTTGTCATGATCTCAGGGTTCTGGGATGGAGCCCTGCATTGGGCTCTCTGCTCAGCAAGGAGCCTGCTTCCCCCTCCTCCTCTGCCTGCCTCTCTGCCTACTTGTGATCTCTTTCTCTCTGTAAAATAAATAAATAAAAATCTTAAAAAAAAAATAGTAAAGTTTACCTGATTTTTTTTTTTTTTTTTTTTTTCATTTGTCAGCTTAAGGTATCTGGGCAGATTGGCAGTACCTTAATTGGATGGAGTAACTGTTAAAGAAAAAATCTCTTCAGATATGTCTTATTCTAGGTCACTGTTGTTCTGCTAATATGGGAAAAATCAGTTTTTCTGAAGTTAGTGTTGTAGCCTGACGCAAATGAGTGATTCTTTTTAGATGGGAGTGAATAAACTTGCAAAGCTACGTCTAGAAATGCCTCTTGTTATTTGTCCACGAAATAATATATTTTGTGTCACATGGTGGTGTTTGTTTTGCCTCTGAAGTAGCTAGCTTCAGAGTTCACATAGTAGTTACCTGATATTAAATAGTCTCCTTAATAATTGTAGCCAGATACATATAAGAGAGGCCTAGGTTTGGAAACCAAAGCTGCAGAGCAGTTTTGGGTGGCCTGGGACTGGAAAGTGGTAATACATGGGTCTTGGGCTGTTCCTCGAAGGCATCAGCTGCACCAGCTGGGATCATTACGTCCCTTCCTGTGTGGGTTGGAGAAGTCATGTTTGGGAAGAGATTGTTGAGGAGGGGGATTGGGTAAAGGAGAAGTTGTTAAGGGTAGATGGTGTTAGATCCTGGGATGGCACTGGCCTGGCTGCTTGCCCACTCCCAGTCACAGCACGGGGAGGTAGAGCCATCAGAACGTGGGAGGCCAAGGCCCCAAGTCAGCTCTGTGCAGGTCCGACAGGTTTACTTCTTAAAAGCTTGTCCCTAAAATAGCACCCTATACACGGTGACCTTTGAACTCCTTATTGAAGGAAAGTCACAGGTGAAGGTGGCTATTTGTCTTTTCTCATTGTTTTGAGTCTCACTGGGGTCACTCAGTAAGAGTTAAGAGTTAAGCCTCTGCCCTCTTGATTGTCAAACCCCCTGGGGGGGTGGGGGGCGAGTGTGTGTGCGTGCACGCCTGCGCTTGGGCTGCTCTCCTCTTCATGCAGTCCGAATATTGTATTAAATAATAAAATGCTTTGTTCCATCTCAGGAAATAGGGTAGATGTAATTCTTCTATTAGTAAAATAATTTTTATATTTTATTAGTAGAATAGTACTTCTATAATAGGAACATTCAAAGTGAGTTGCCATTGTTTTACTCATTTTTGCTGTTTTTACTATAAACATTAATTTTAGACAGGAAAATTTCAAAAAGAAGGATTTTTTTCTCATCATGTAAATGGTTAAGTACTGATAAGGAATGTTTGAGCATGTGTTTGAGGAGGCTTAGTGGAGAGAGCATTTAGAACAAGTGTTATAAAAGGTTTATTTAAGCTTGCTAATCTGATTTTGGCTACAATACCTTTTGGTTATTAAAATGATGTGTTCTCGGGGCGCCTGGGTGGCTCAGTGGGTTAAGATGATGTGTTCTCATTAGAGAAAATTTGGAAAATATTTTGTAAAAAGCATTTGAAAACTCTTATGCAAAAAGAAAATAACTGCTTTCCCTCCCAGAGCATATTTTGTCTTTAAAAAAAACAAAACAAAACAAAAAAACCAACCTTGGGCGCCTGGGTGGCTCAGTCAGTTGGGCGACTGCCTTTGGCTCAGGTCACAATCCTGGAGTCCCGGGATCGAGTTCCGCATCGGGCTCCCAGCTCCACGGGGCGTCTGCTTCTCCCTCTGATCTTCTTGCCTCTCATGCTCTCTCTCACTGTCTCTCTCTCAAATAAATAAAATCTTTAAAAAACAAATAAACAAAAAAATTAAACTTATAGATAAAATTTTCCGTTTCAGTTTTCCCCATGAATGATTGTCTTGCTGGCTTTTAAATTTGTACAATTGCAGGATAAGCATGGAGAGTTTAATGTTTAAAATGATAATATGGCAAGTTTGTTAATGCAGAAAGGTATAGTGATAGGCTGCTATGTTGTATATAGTTAGTAGAAATGGAATTTTGTAAATGATGATGGGT